AGATAATCTGTGCAGGCTTACACCAAAACGATTTGGTGTAGGTTAGTAGACCTGCATTTCGTAGTAAACGGTCTCTATCCAACCGATGCATATCAAATAAATCCAGCTCAACCAAAGAGTCGTTGATGTCAGGATGCAACCACGTTTCTTGCAGCATAACTATCCCCAATGGACGGTATTTTTTCGTCCTTATCATTTTCGTGAAGTCGCTCATTTTGCCAAATAGTCACCGTACGTTTGATGAACAAATGGCAGGGATAGACATTTTCTGAGGTTTTGTGTTACGTAAGGCTACTTGCCAGCCTGCTCGGTGTTTTCTGAGGAAACCTGATCTGGACGTTCTGCATCTTTTGTATCTATTTTTAACTTGACGACTGAACTGATGGAGAATGCCACTCTTGAGCGGTAACACATAATGTTGCAAATTCTTTAAAGATTCCGGGGCGTACGTAATCGTGAAAGCGATGAACGAAACCTTGATTCAAACGAGTAAATTCAATGTGTAACGTAGAAGTTGATAAATTGTTCACTGGAGCACAAAAAAATGTAACACGGCCGAAATTTGAAGGCACTCTTGATGTTCTTGGGTGTGGGTTTAGATCCTCGGGAGATAGTTGATTCCCCACAATTCCACATGCGATGGAAATGCTCACGATCTGGGGTGTGGGATGCATTATAAAATTTCCCATACGATTTGGAAAACTTTTTATTCTACTTAGTCCCGGTATCATTATCTTTGTCAGCCCACGGGATATTTCGCGTACCTGGGAAATGCGATCGAGCAACGAAAAGATGACAGATGTACTTTGAAGAAAGCAGAGATAACGCTGAAAAAAAGCTAACAGATTTTTAGTTTTAAAGGTGGCAAATGAGGACGATGATGAAGGATGGAGCGCGGGCGAACGACCAGAAAATTGATATTGATACACGAGCATCAACCTGGACTAGAACGCAAAAACTGCGGTCAACGCTTGAAATATGACAAATATGTCGGTTAACGCAAACCTTTTCATCACCAGAAAGAATATCGATCCTGAAGATCATGGTGTACCTCTGGATAAGTGGTCTGCGTGTGAATTTTGGACAGCTGGAGAATGAAAAAAATCAAACCAGCCTAATCCGATCTATTGGAGGTTGAAATTGAAAAGTTGCACTAAAAGGGAGAACAAAACCTAAATATTTTACTCATTCGAATGTCATTCAATTCCTCGCGTGCTCACGGCAGATCTGTCGAATTTTCCGCACCTTCGAGGATACAAAGGCCAGAAATGCAATCAGTGTATGCGGTGAGGAGCATTTTGTGTTTGACAAATTTACGAACGTTTTGATTGCAATAAGGGGCTAATTTTGTAATTGGTATACCACCAGCGGGGCTAGGGATTTAGTTCCAGAGGTGTCGATTTCTGTAAACGGGAGTTCGGTGATTTCTTATTAGTGAATACAACTCACGTGTCACGAACTATGGTGTGTGTCGACCGACACAGAACACCGAACAGCCGTTTTGCCTTGTCGGGACTAATCAGCAGTGCCTAGCTAGTATGTTTGCCCCACGCCCTCGGCATAACTCCGACCGTGAATGTGTCAATTAGCAAATGAAATCTTCTACTTGTCCTTCATTCACTCGTGTTATTCGATTGCCCGAGTGTTGTTCCTGCCTCACCGCTTGAACCATGAACCAATTCTTCATGGAACGTTTGCATACGTGTTTTAATTTCTTACCAAGAGGTGAAATTCTTAATGCAGTTCGCAAAATCATTCATCAGGAAGTACAAAAAGAATTGATTTGGACGGAATAAAATTAGACGACGGAAAGGTGCTTCATGGTAATTAGCTGGACGAACCATACGTTTTGCAATGGAATTGTTGTTTTGTCAAATCAGTGGCTCCTTATTTCAAATTCGCATTACAACATGGAGAGGAACACCAGATGAGAATGATTAGCTGAAGACCATCTGCTCCCTGTTTCTCCGAATGCTGACCAATTAACGGGCCTCAACGAATGCAGTTGAACACCAGACGTGTTTCAAGAGAGAATGGGGCGTACAACTGAGTCTCAAAACGTTTATTCTAGGTATTCAGTCCACAGAGGAACTCATTTTCTAAGTGGGGAATCAATGAGATGTGCTGTGTGCCTGTTTACGCGTGCACCAATCGCCATGAGTTTTGCAAGTTCGGTGTAATTGTAGTAATGGTAATAGTAGCACCTAATGAACAGAAAACACAAATCACGGAATACGAATCACTGAAATACCAAGAGGCGCTAGCACAGAGATTCATTGCTAACCCTAAGCTGATGCATAAGCACATTAACTCAATTCGGAAAGTAAAGTATGGCATACCGGCACTACGCAGCGCTGGAAGAGTTGCAGCCACTCCAGTGGAAGGAGCTGAAATGTTGAAAACTCAGTATTCCAACGTTTTCGCAGCACTACAGGTTGACGGTCTACAGCTACCTCCCCGGTTGCATCATCTTCCATATCCCGCACTAACCTACGTATCATTTACTACTGATAACGTCAAAGCAAAACTAATGGCCTTGCGAAAAAATGCAACCCCAGGTGCGGACAAGATGCACCCGAAATCCATGATCTTTTTGGTGAATCGCATGTCCGAATCGCTCGCCAGTCTGTTCCAATGAATGTTCGACCAAGCAACACTCCCAGAATCGTGGAAACAAGGAGTTATTTCAACCATATACAAAGGTGGTTATCGTAGTGACCCCGCTAACTACAGACCTGTAACCCTCCTTCCGGTGGTATCGAAAGGCGTCGAACGATACAACATTCCTTCGACAGCTTAACATGAGTTCAGGCAAAAGCGATCCTGCTCCACCAACCTACTTCTTATTCGAGATGAATGGACCAGAACAGTCGATGAAGGGGATGCGGTAGATGTGATTTATCTCGACTTCTCGAAAGCATTTGATCGAGTGAATCACCGAATCTTGCTACGGAAGCTCTACAATTACAGCATTCGAGATTTCGTGTTTGATTGGATTAGAGCATTCCTCCAACAACGGACCATATCAGTTCCTGTTTCTGATTCTATATCCGGATTTATCAATGCCACCTGCGGTGCTCCACAATGGCATGTACTAAGTCCCCGTCTGTTTCTCGCATTCATAAATGATTCACTGAGTGTTAGGTCCAAAAACACTTATGTTTGCAGACGACTCCAAAATCTGGAATACAGTAAAAGAACCTGAGGGCTCTCTAATACTTCAAGAATCACTTAACGCAGCTTATCAATAGTCTGAGGAGAACGATATTGAATTCAATGTTTTTAAATGTAAAGTCCTATCTCTACGCCACAAGAGAAGATTCTCATATTTCCTCGGAAATCAGCAGGTGCCACAAACGTCAAGTGAAAAATGACTTGGGTATTGTTGTTCAAGAGGATTTAAGCTGCTCGATCACCTGCGCTCAGGCCGCGTCCGCTGCTGTGAAGAATGTATGCTTACTTATGAGAGTCTTTGGTCGGTATGAATCGGTACTGTTCCCACGTTTGCTACTAGTGTACATTGGACCGTACACAGAATATGCCATCCAAGCTTGGAGCCCATGGTTGCAACGTGATCGCAAGATGCTTAAGCGCCTAGAAAGGATGGCCACCATAATGGTCAAGGGATTGTATTACCTCACCTATGCGGAGAGATTATGATCATTGGGACTATATTCTGCTCAGTATTGCCCAATTCGGGGAGACTTGATTTTGACGTATCAAATACTGCAGAACCCAAACCATCCATGTAGGCAGCCGCTCATGTTATCGAATAACGTAAAGCTTAGGGTACACCGTTTCAAGTTACTGCTTCCAAAGTGTCGACTGGAATGCCGGCGCCAATCTTTTGCAGTCAGAGTATGCATTACTTGGAACACCCTTCCATCTCACATCATTTGTGCACCAACTATAGAATCTTTCAAGCGGAGACTCGATGAAACTTTGGCACACCTCACATTCCTACACCAATAAAGCAAACGCAAATTCACTGAAGCCTACATTTTCTACAATCTGCTACCTGGAACTGTGTGATTTTTTTCGCCGTGAAACGATTCAATTGTGTAAATATCCTATGGGGACAAGAGAAACATGAGCTTGTAATTCCCATAATCAAACTTTGACTTTGACAGACTTCTGTTTGGTAGCTCACTCAGCTATCGATCGCAAAGCATACATCCGGTTGCGTCATAGCACATATACTGTTTGCCTGGATCACATGACAGGTAAGTGTTCAAGCAATACCCTTCACTAACCACAGAAGCAATCAGCTGATAAGATAAAGCGAATTAATGAACCACAGGTGAATAAAATTGAATAAATTCATTTTTCTGCATCTTTAAAAGACTGTTGCATGTGACTCGTCATAAATTTATTCTATAGTCCGCGGTTCTCCGGAAGAGTCTTTATGACTTAGTTCAAAGTTTTGGCTATCCCAGTGAAACAGATTTTGGCAGCTCATAGCTGTTTGAGATGGATTTGACAGATGAAACATAGTACAACAATGCTGTCCTGCCCGCAGAGCGTTGTTCAGAAATACAGTCTCTGTTTTCTTTGGGATAACATTATCTCAATCCTGTTGAAATCGTTCACAGTGACTCCACCCCAATAGCAAGCAGTATTGAGCGAATAGACCCATTAGGTCATAAAGCTACTCACTGATAAACCTATCGGTTTGTTCAAGTCAATTCAAGTCAGTAGCAGCTTTATGCACCCGGCTGGGTGAATTTTCAGCATTTATACAATATTTGTGAATCATACATAGTGAAACTGAAAGCAGTAGGTTGTTTGTTAATGAGGTAAGTAATTGCGTAATTCTGTGGAAATTTTCTCCTTAGTCTTAGTATATTGTATTGTATTGTGTATAAATTTTGCGAGCACTGCAGCTTACAGTTCAATTAAAAAGCCATAAATGTCAACCGGCCCAAAGTAAATATTTAACAGGGATAAAATGTTTACAGACATGAGGACATTTCATAATCCAAGGTTGTTGTGACAGGCGTCCAAAGTAGTATTTATTTAGGCATGTATGAACAGTTTTCACCAAAGATGTGCTGAGAAGTCTCAGTGGATTGTTCGGTGTCCCGAGTTTCCCGAATAAGTTGCTGTCCCCACCCCTTTAATCACAACCATCATCGACATCGGCGATGCTGGAGAACACAAAGATGGTAAAGTTGATGGATCCACCAAGATAACCTTGGTCAGTTACTTATGACCGTCCATTAATCGTGGAGAAACACACAGTGCAAAAGATATTTCTGATCTTTGTTAAACAAAGTGATGAGAAAATTTCGTAGATAATTTGTTTTAAATGAAGATTCAATCACACTTCGCTTCANNNCTTCAGAGACTTCTGATAATCCTCAACTGCTTCCAAAGAACACTTCTCGATACCCGTCTGATACGCATAGATTGTCTAGACCGTGAAACCGTGCATAGTTTTTCATTGGAGTGAAACCAACTTCCGTCTCTGTTACAAGTGAGGTGTGGTACCAACATTCAGGACTTTTCCATTGGGCAAATACTCAAAGTGCAGGGAAGATGTTGACAGATTAAATGAAGAACAGTAAGACGACGACGTGGCAATGATGACTGAGTGTGAACAGGTCCTGGTGAAGAGTCCCATTGAAGCTGCACGAATATTGCGACAGTTTGCAGTGGAAACGTGCTTGTAATTCATGCACGAATCTAAAGAATGAAAAAGAATCTAGCGATATACTGAGGACAATAATGGGGCAAAAGGCGTACTCTTTGACAGCGAGATTCAAGTCCCTGATTCGATGGGCCAAATCCATTTCGGGTCCCTAAAAGACATCGAGGATCACAGCCTCTGTGATTTGTGTGATAGAAGGTTTTGTCGGTTCTGCTGTCGTCGTCCGGGTCAGTATTATCACCTAGCCATCGGGAGCTTATGTTGTTCGCCCCTTTAAGTTTCAAAACTAGGTCGCCGGTTACCTATCATCTCACTATGAATTCCACAACTGACAGGATCACTCTCACTCGAAAATCGCAATCACTGACATTCGCGGTTTAAACCATTATAGTGATTCTCTACATCAATTTCGTCAGTCAACTTCCCCTCTTGCTCTATGTTTATCCGAAACACAATTTTTTTTCTTTTGCAGACACCGCTCATCTTCAGTTTCTTAATTATTCTCTTAACACTTCATTCATCTCCAAAGCTGGTTTATGTGTTTTTATCCATCATTCGGTAGCTTCTACCCCGTTCTCCCACTTAAATCTCACCTTCTGCGAGTTTCAGACTATGTGATTAAAACTTCAGTTCCCTTTATTCACTCACTGTTTCTGCGCATATACCGTTCCCCCAAATAGTAGTGACTCTGCAATCTTTGATATTTTATCTGCAAAACATTGATAGCATAGTTGAAGCAGACCCCAGAAGTCAGTTTCTGATTTTGGGTAACAGGGATTGGCTGTTACACTTCTGAGGGACACCTCCCCTTGGACGTGAAGCCGAGTCATGTACCCCATTAAATAACCTTCACCAAACGGTTGGTTTCCATACCAATATCCCTGACCGTGCTGGCAACCACGTGCATACCCTCGATCTTGCCCTCACATCCAACCCATAATTATTTTCAAATGTTGTCCCGATTCCCCTCCTGGGCTCATCGGAACATTGGCTCATTTCGCTCTCTACAGAACCTATCTGTTCCACTGCCCCCCGTCAGTTCGAGACACATTCTGGCGACACGGTTCAACTGATTGGTGCAGCTTTCCTAGCTTTCTGGTTTCCTACCCCTAGAATGACTGGTGTTTCTCCGCCAATGCCTCAATCTCGGTTTCGAAATCTTTCGAAGTTCTTTTGCACTTCTTTAGCAGACTACAAACTAGTCGATCAGAATGCTTCATTTGATCTATATACAATTATAGGACATTGCATCAGTGCAACCTTAAATGCCATTACTATTTAGTGAAATTCATTGTGTATAGAGCCAAGTTAGTGCGATCGAAAAAGTAAGGAAGCCTGGATAGTTATTTCGACTTGGCTGGATTTCATCAGTCAAGCGAATCCATCAACCCGACTGGGGATTGTACCCGTCAGCTAACAGGCCGAACGCAGGTAGACTATCCACTTGCTCACCGGAAAGGTAATCAGGCCATTTTTCATTTAGCCTATACACGATATAGCAAGTTTATTGCGGGCATCTCTCCTCTAGTTTCTCGAGTTATAACTCGATTGTAAACATCCCGAATCTGACTATTTGATAACAACAACAACAAATCCTCGGTCATTAGTATTGTTATTTAGACTCACAGGGCCGAGTGCACTAGATGCTTGGTTTCTTGACTATTTATTCATAATGATAAAGGATAGAATGAAGAAGCCTGAAAGCGTTTCAGCGTTTCAGTCAGGGCTCTTTGACATGCGAGCTGGCGACTAATACTGCATTTTATGTTATACGTAGTATGTGAATGATTAAAAAATATCTCCTGAGGTAACCGATTGGTTTTGCAGCTGCGGGTGTTTATCAGGTATGCGTATCCGGTGCTCCCTCATTCAATAGCTGATATACTTGATCCATGCGTAGATACTTTTCGAAAGCGGACAACAAGGAAAAAGAATTTGTGAGAACACAATGACAAAAATTAATAAGTTAGCACAGCTTACCATCGCAA